CGTGTGGAAATTAGAAGAACAAATTATGCACCAGAATTCAAAGATTAATCCTGTCTTAAAGTACGCACCATGGTACTTCAGCAACAACATCAGGATGGCTAAAGATCTTTGCCGCATTATGTCTCTTGTTTGTCGGGATCGGTTCACCAGCTGGAGTGTAAGCATCACACATAACCTAACACAACAGGTAAAAAAAAAAGTTAAGGTACAACCAATTTCCAAACATGCTCGGAAAGAAAAAGTACACAAGCAAAAAGGACCTAGGTATAGTTTTATAAGAAAAAAGAAAAGGAGGCAAAGCAAAACTCACCAAAATGTTATTTCCCCTCCTGAATGGATCTTTGAAAATTGCCTGAGGACTGTGAACATGGATTATAACAAACATTAGCATATAAAATACAGATACAATAACAAAACAAACACAAATGAAGACCTTTATACCAAGGTTTGGCTATGTGGATTGTACCAATCATCGCTTATAGTCAAATTTCATGTTCTCATTACATATCACATGCTTTATGGGGAAAAAAATATGAGAGATAAGAAAATATTAGTCACTTACTACAGAATCACTTCACTGTCCTCTCCGGGAGCTTGGCCCGTGCTAGATCCATCGTAATTCCACTTGGGAAGTTTTGAAGGATCAGTCACTGGCTTGGCCAGGGTCTGGAAAAACAACAATAGGATTAAAATTAATGCATAGATTAAACGAGCTAGTACAGAAAAAAAACGGTGCCGTAGGTGAATATTTCTAAAAAGAAATAGGCAATTACCCTTGCTTTGCTCCTAAGATCCATTCCTGAGCCACCAACCCTGTAAATAATTTAAAGCAAAAAAGAGGTTAGTGACTCAGTGATTAGAAAATACATTATAAAAACATCCTTCAAATGAAACAATATAAATCAGACATAACTGAATTTTGCAGCAGCATCTGTTTAAACCATGTAAAGAGCAGAACATGAATTTAACTTACTATAAAAATACAAAAACTGAATAATGGTGTAATACCAAACCATTAGAACACTATGCCTCATAATTCAAAATACGCAACCCACAACGAATACTATTACATGCCATAAACGCACGACCACAACAACGTTTCCGATATCGACACGAAGAAACAAGAATCACATCAAACCAACGGCTAGTCGAAAGAAAACATTGATGGTCTTGCCAAATCAAATAAACATAACTCAAATGAAGTCGACCCAATTCGGCCAGTGAAATAGGGCCATCAAAATCAAACTACAGATCTCCTAAAGAAAACTGATTGCAAAATAACACCACCAAAGACGATACTGCAAATTTTAGAGTAGTTTAGAGACAGAGCATGTGTGATCATTGTTGAATTAAATCAAACTGACCAAACATATTCGGCAATGATCTTCTGAGTGGTCTCGGAGAGGTCGAGGTTGATCAGATCTGTAACCAGTGACATTTTTTCACAAGATTTTCAAAAGCTCCTCTCTCGCTGTTTCTCTCGTCTCTCCCTGCCACTCTCTCTCTATCCTCAAGAATAAGTGAAGATGATAAGATGTTTTAGTAGTGGAGGAGAAAGGCAGGTCGGAGATTTATAGTGGCATTCAAAGGTTGGTGCATGTGAATTTAAATGTTCAATATAAATAT